ACAAAAACGAAAGTAGGGAGATGGGTCAGGGAGGATGTAACATAGTAAACGTACATTTTTGCCCCTCCAATTTGTATGATATATTACGTTTGTATGGTTACATAGGACAGTAGGTTACTTAAGTCAAAAACAAAAGTAGGGAGATGGGTCAGGGAGGATGGATGGGCGCATAACGCAAACATCTAGCAACCCAAAGGTTGCGTGTCGAATCACATCACAGACAACTTTAGCATTTTAGCTAATTAGCAACTTTCATGTCAAGTTGAAACTTGAAAGTTGCTAATTAGCTCAAATGCAGTTGTCCATGATGTGATTCAAACACGCAACCTTTGGGTGTTACATCTGAACTATGCGGCCAAGCTGTCAATGGGGTTCAAGTCCAGAGACATTGTCATTGCAAAATGTAAATTTTGTGGTCAATTTACCATTTCTTTGTGGATTTGTTGTGTGCTTGGGGTCATTGTCTTGCTGGAAGATCCACTTTAACCAGGTTTTTGGTTAAAATGTCCTCGTACTTGGAGGAGTTCATGATGTTAAACTTAACAAGGGCCCTAGGACGAGTGGTAGCAAAACAGCCCCAGAACATCATAGATCCACCACCATATTTTAAAGTAGATATAAGGTTATTTCTGCATATGCATCCTTCTTTTGACGCCAAACCCACTGCTGGTTTGCATGGCCAAAGACCTCTATTTTTGTCTCATCTGACCATAGCACCCTGTTCCAATTCAAGTGCCAATGCCATTTAGCAAACTCCAGGCATTTACATTTGTTAGTTGCTTACAGTAAAAGCTTTTTTCTGCTAACCCTTCCAAAGAGCCTATTGGCATGGAGGTGGCGTCTAATTGTAGATTTGGAGACTTGGTAACCCCAAGATGCGACCAATTCTCCAACTGTGGCGCTTGGATTTTTCTTTGCCTCCCGAACCTCCTTCCTCACTGGGACAAGATACATTTACATTTACGTCATTTAGCAGACGCTCTTATCCAGAGCAACTTACAGTTAGTGCATACATTATTATTTTCATACTGGCCCCCCGTGGGAAACGAACCCAAAACCCTGGCGTTGCAAACACCATGCTCTATCAACTGAGCTACCTCCCTGCCTGCCATTCCCTCCCCTACCCTGGACGACGCTGGGCCAATTGCACGCCGCCCCATTGGTCTCCCGGTTGCGGCCGGTTACAGCAGAGCCTGGATTCAAACCAGGATCTCTAGTGGCACAGCTAGCACTGCGATGCAGTGCCTTAGACCACTGCGCCACTCGGGAGGCACCAGGAAAGTTTACCACTGTTCCAGAAAAAGTGTATTTTTTTTTACCCAATGCCTGATTTCTGAAGGTCAACAACCATTTGTCTTTTTACGTTAGTGAGTTCTTTGCCTTTCCCCATGGTGATGGATGACAAATGGATTTGATATGCGTGTTTCCTCATTTTCAGGGCCGGGTTACCAAACGGGGCCCCCAACCAAATTACACAAAATGTTTTTTTCCTATTTTGGGGGGGTTGGGGGCCCTCCAGATAGCATATGAACATGTCATAAGCATTGGCAAAATGTGTAGAATTGCAGGAAATTAGCTTTAAAACTGCAATATTTTCTCTCATCCTCATGGCAAAATGTAAAGAGTAGCATGAGATGAGCTATAAAACAGCAAATCTTTCTCTCTGCCCCCCCCAATTTTTTTTTTTGTAGAATTACAGGAAATGTGTTTTAAAACTGCAATATTTTCTCTCAGACTCATGACAAAATGTGTAGAAGAGCATTATAAAACTGCACATTCTTCTGACTGTCCCATGGCAAAATTTGTTTAAATGCAGGAAGTTGGACGTTTTGTTGTTCTTTTTTTTTTGGAGGTCGGTGCCCCGGGGCCCCGAATGCAGTTGTCCGGCCCTGCTCATTTTTATACCCCAGTGAAACAGGAAGCCATGAAAGGCCACAAAACAGTTCCTTAAACTGAGATGAACTTAAAAACGAAGAATGTTAATGCACATTTTATTTTGTTTGATTTTATTTTAAGAATATTTAGGGATGTCAATAACTTTTTGATAATAGTTTTTATTACTTGTTAAACAAAATCTCTTTCTCTGAGCAATTGTATTAGTGTCACGACTTCCTCCGAGGCTGCCTCCTCTCCTTGTTTGGGCAGGCTTCGATGTTCGTCATAACCGGCCTTCTAGCCACTCATCTCATCATTCCATTTGTTTTGTCTTGTTTATTACACACACCTGGTTCATATCCCCTCATCAGTACCTGTATAAGTGTTCCCTCTGCCCCCTTGTCTTTGTGTGTGATTGTTTATTGTGGAGGTTGGATTAGCTCGGTGGAGCTCTTTGTTATGTTGTATCGCCGGGTTATTTTCACCCGTGTGCTTCGTTTTTTTCCAGTGCGCCTGTTTTCCGCACTGAAGTGTTTGACGCATTGCTGCGTACTACTGTGTTCAACCTTTTATTCTGTGATTTGCCCTCCTGCTCCTGACTCCTTCAAATCACACATCACAGAATCACACACCACAACATGGAGTCAGCAGGAGAAGTGAACAGGCGACCAAATTACCACCTCAACGGGGCGGGGGATTGCCCGATAAACCTCCGGGTAGACGCTGTGCCTCCCAGGAGTCATGTGTATCCCCTGTCCTGGCTGAAACGGAGGCTATGGAGACATACGTCTCCGAGTCCCTGCGCCAAGGGTTCATACGTCCCTCCACTTCGCCCGCCTCCTCGAGTTTCTTTTTTGTGACGAAGAAAGACGGAGGTCTGCCCCCCTGCATTGATTACTGAGCACTTAACAAGGGGACAATTTGTTATAGTTATCCTCTACCCCTCATTCCATCTGTAATCGAGTCAATGCATGGGGTGCGCTTCTTCACAAAATTAGATCTCCGGAGTGCGTACAACCTGGTGCGTGTCCGAGAAGGGGACGAGTGGAAGACAGCATTCAGCACAACCACTGGGCATTATGAATACCTGGTGATGCCTTAAAGTTTGATGAATGATCCATCCGTCTTCCAGTCCTTTGTGAACGAGGTGTTTCGGGACATGCTTGGTCGCGGTGTAGTGGTCTACATCGATGACATTCTGGTGTATTCCGCTATGCGCGCAGAGCATGTGTCCCTGGTTCGCAAAGTGCTGGCCCGACTGTTGAAACATGACAGTTCGTCTCCTTCCTCGGATACCGCATTACCACCTCAGGTGTGGAGATGGAGGGAGATCGCATTTCAGCCGTGCGTAATCGGCTGACTCCAACCACAGTGAAGGCGGTGCAGCGCGTTATTGGCTTTGCCAACTACTATCGTAGGTTTATCCGGAGCTTTGGCAAGGTCGCAGCTCCCATCACATCTCTGTTGAAGGGTGGGCCGTCCCGGCTCCGCTGGTCTGCTGAGGCTGACAGGGCCTTCAGTAACCTGAGGGGTCTGTTCACCTCAGCCCCGGTATCGGCCCTCCCGATCCATCACTACCGTTCGTAGTGGAGGTGGATGCGTCCGAGGTAGGGATAGGTGCTGTCCTATATCAACGTTTGGGCACGCCACCCAAGCTCCGCCCCTGTCCCTTCTTCTCCAAGAAGCTCAGCCCGGCGGTGCAGAACTACGACGTTGGTGATCGGGAGCTGTTGGCTGTTGTCTGAGCCCTGACCGTGTGGAGGCACTGGCTCGAGGGGGCGAAACACCCTTTCCTTGTCTGGATGGACCACCGTAACCTAGAGTACATCCGGGAAGCGAGGAGGCTGAACCCTCACCAGGCCAGGTGGGCCCTATTCTTCACCCGGTTTGATTTTACACTATCTTATATCCCGGGTACAAAGAACGTGAAGGCAGACGCACTGTCACGGCTGTCTGACACAGAGGAGAGGCCCATAGACAACACCCCCATACTCCCGGCCTCCTGCATTGTGGTGCCGGTAGTGTGGGCGATGGACGCGGACATAGAGCGGGCGTTACGCACAGAGCCATCTCCACCTCAGTGTCCAGCTGGGCTTTAGTACGTGCCTTCTCTTGTCCGTGACCGTCTGATCTATTGGGCACACACGTCCCCCTCCTCTGGTCACCCAGGTATCGGTCATACAGTGCGCTGCCTGACCGGAAAGTAATGGTGGCCTACCTTGGTAAAGGACGTGAGGGTGTATGTCTCCTCCTGCTCGGTGTGCACACAGAGTAAGGCACCTAGGCACCTCCCAGCGGGTAAGTTACAGCCCTTACCAGTTCCACAACGGCCATGGTCCCACTTGTGTATTGACTTCCTTACTGATCTTCCCCTCTCTCAAGGTAACACCACCATCCTGGTCATTGTGGCCCGCTTTTCCAAACCCTGCCGCCTCCTTCCTCTGCCCGGTCTCCCCATGGCCCTGCAGACTGCGGAGGCCCTATTTACACATCTCTTCCGGCACTACGGGGTGCCAGAGGACATAGTGTTTTTGGCAACAGTGCTTACTTTTTTTCCTCTCTTCAATCGAACAGCATCTCAGTTACTTGCTACTGTACTGGGAATGTCAAAGACTGTGTCTTGATATTTCAGAGTGCACTGTAGTTATTCAGACTATATCTACATGATTCCCAGGTATGTTAATAGTATCTGGGTGGTTTGGTGATTCCATGTGTTACGGAAGCAGCTAACCAACCATGAAAAAGAGTACTCTCACTTTGTCTAGGGGTTCGTGGCCTGCCTAGCTGATCTCAACTCTGTAACATGTCTGAATGTGTGTATTTAACATGAAAGTAGGAGTAAGCTAACAGGGTGTTGGATGCATGTGCCTAGGAAGAAAGTGTACTTACCAGGGTCCAGGATGAGCTCTGTCCAGGATGAGCTCTGATGAGCTCTGTCCTGACTCTGTAGTTGTCCAGCCCAAGCAGTTAATAAATGTTCAATTGTTGGTGACAAAAACAATAATATATACAAAAAGAAACAAAAGCTAATGCCATAGCAAAAAGGCATTCAAACAAATGTAGGAAGACCTCGTCAAGACTTACTGGCACTCTCAGCACCTGCCCGAGTTGCTGCTGCTCCCTAGAGACGGGATGTGGAAGAGTGCTGTCTACCTCTAACTACCTCCATTCCTAACACATGGCATTTCTTTATTTTTGCAGGGTCAGTTGGGCTCTACTTCCCCCAGAATCAGTACAAGGAGACTGTGTACGTCGGGCAGTCTGCAGGGACACCCGTGCTCCAGGTCCACGCCATGGTGGAGAGTGACTCTCAACGGCCCCACTTCTACCTGTGCTACCTGAGGCCTCCACCCTATGCTCCGTGGTTCCACCTGGACGAGACCACAGGGATACTCTCCATGAATAAGACCCTGGAGTGGAGCGACTTTGACTCTGCATGTGAGTTTAACAGAGACAGAAGGTTGTGCATATGTATTATTTTCCCATTGTTTATGGAATATGTTATGAAGTTGACCGTGCAATCTATTTACTTGAACACAACACTCCAATATCTTTACAATATACGGTTATATTTAACATTGTAAAATGTGTGGGGGGAAGTGATTCAAGTTGCTCAGCTTTCACGCTTTGTGCATACTAATAACGTTGAGCTTCAAGGTGATACATCATGTTCAGGGATCTGCTTTCAGAATCTGGTTCTAACCATTGGTTCCAACGATGAACTTAGCATTAAGATGCTTTTGGGAAACTGGAGCCCAGGACAGTAATGTAATTGCATAGAAGCCCAGAAAGTGCCCAGTCATCAAGAAATAAATGCACTGTGGGAGATTTAAATGGGGCCCTGTGTTACTCTTTTGGTTCTCTTGCTGATCAGATAAGTTTTGGAAGCTGCCGCTGAGTGTCATTGCAGCGACCAGACCATTGAAGAAGTTCCTCTGTGGCCTCAGCCACCCCACCGTACAGGTCAGCCTGACCTTCATCAATGACACAGCGCCACCGTGTGGCCAGACCAGACCAGAGCTGAAGAAACTGTGCTTCCCTGACAAAGACCTGCACTCCCACATTAAGGAGAACAGGTTCCCCGGGGCCCTCCGCCAGCTCAGACAGCTCACCAGGCTTAACGTCTGCCCCAACTACACCATCTCCTACAGTGTAGAATCCGGTGAGGCTTGCTACACTCGCCCCACCCACACTGTCTCTGTGCATCATATTATGAGAAACATGAAACACTTTGCATGTCTCTACACTGGCGTACCACACACCCCCGCAGCCCCCCCTGGAGGTTGCCTCCATAGAATTAGGAATTAGAATACTAGAATGGACATGAACCTTCTTATGATGGGATAAAGGTCAGCCATTTTGATCAGGGAATTGGTCTACCATGGTTCGCCAGTGCTGTGATAAGATGTTCTATAAAATAATTAATTTGAATAATTTATCAGGGTCCAGTTTGTCAGCTAGCTAGCCAGCCAGTTTTAGAGGAATGATTCCATACATTTTTCAAATTAACTGCCAATATGCCAACATTCCATTCAAACAATGCAGTCAATCTACAACTATACACTGGCTGAAATCAATAGATGATAGGACTTAGACAAGTTGCAAATGCAACAAGTACTGACATTGTATCATATAAAGAAAACAAAAAAGTATTGGGACAGTGACACATTTTATGTTGTTTTGGCTCTGTACTCCTACACTTTGGATTTGAAATGATACAATGACTATGAGGTTAAAGTGCAGACTGACAGCTTTAATTTGAGGGTATTTCCATTATATCGGGTGAACCGTTAGTATTTGGTCCCATATTCCTAGTTTGCAATGATTACATCAAGCTTGTGACTCTACAAACTTGTTGGATGCATTTGCTGTTTGTTTTGGTTGTGTTTCAGACTATTTTGGGTCCAACAGAAATGTATGGTAAATAATATGTTGTCATTTTATTGTAAATAAGAATATAATATGTTTCTAAACACTTCTACATTAATGTGGATGCTACCATGATTACGGACAAATGTCCAGCTATCATACCCCACAAAAATTATAACCTCCCCTGTTGGTGTAATGGTGAAAGATTTGCATGTCTTGGGGGTATGATATTTGTGCAACTCTCACTCATCATTATTTACGATTCATTCAGGACTATCTGTAATCATGGTAGCATCCACATTAATAAATAAGTGTTTAGAAACATATTATATTCTTATTTACAATAAAAGTGACTCCAAAATGACACAAAATGATCCAAGGTGCTGGAGTGCAGAGCTGAAATAACAACAAATGTGTCACTGTCCCAATACTTTTGGAGCTTACTGTATATATATATATATACAGTATACAGAAAATGTGTACAAAACCCATATAGAAAGCATTTATGATTATATGACAATATTTTAGGTTGACAATAATTCTATTGCACAATTTCTGATATATATAACATGCCTTTGTTTAATTTTCCTGCATAAGTAAAATCAGGATTATGCCTCTGCCATTCATTCCAATTAGCTGTAAAACTGCAACATGTTCTCTTAGCTTTATTGCAAAATGTGTAGAATAGCATGTGATTAGCTATAAAACTGCAAATGTTCCTCTCTCCCCCATGGCAAAATGTGTAGAATAGCAGGAAATGTCCTTTAAAAATGCATAATTCTCTCAGCCTCATTGCAAAATGTGTAGAATAGCATGAGATTAGATATAAACTATACATTATTCTCTTTGCCTCAAGGCAGAATGTGTAGAATTGCCACTGGGTCTTTACTAACCTTGGTGGGTTACCCCATGTTCCCACTCTTATAGAATGCATGATATTAACCTCAATCTTCTTTTCGATTTTCTTTCTCATTGCTGCTCCAGTAGTCTGGCAACATGAGACTAACATGACATGTTGTTTACATCTCCTCTTCATGTTCCATTTGGCGCTAGATGTTCCAGCCCCATTCGCTGTGAATGACACCACCACTGAGTTGGTAGTGACAGCTCCATTGGACCGCGAGGAGAGGGAGACGTACAGTCCCATTCTGGTTTGCACAGTGCAGACTGACACGATGATAGACAAGTTTTTTGTTACACTACATATCAACGTCTACGACGAGGACGACAATGCACCGTATGTCAGTGGAACAGACACAGAGGACGTGGTACTAGATTTTGATCGCATGCAGGTGACTTTACATTACTTTTACTACCATACTGTATATCAGTTTATTGCTATAAATGTATCATTGATACCACTGTTGTTCTTGTTGTGTGTTTCTCAGGGAAGTTCTTTTGGCAACTTGGTTGTCTATGATAGAGACACAACACCCAGGTATCCCAAATCCCAGAGTCAGAATAGATTTGTCGGAAATATGATGACCAATGACTCATGGATAAATGAAATGTTCACCATAGAATACTCTTTCAAAGAAGAGAAGGCCATTTTTGGCAACGTCCGAGGCACTGTTCATGAGTTCCGTGAGTAGTCCAGATGAGTTCCACAATCACTCTAAGGGCTGGTTTCCCGGACACAGAGTAAGCCTAGTCGCTTTCCAGTCTAGGACTAGAGTTAATATGTGTCCGGGAAACCAGCCTGTTAACTTCTACAAAATATTTTGATCGATTCATTAAATAAACTAACTGCCCCCCCCCCCCCCCCCCCCCCCCCCCTTCCTTTTGTGTGGCATATAGGGCTTGCACTGAAGAAGAATTTGTCTGTAACCGAGAATAGGACACTCCAGCTGGATTACCTGGTTAATGACACTACATACCCCGGTCCAGAGGGAACTGTGATGCTGCACTACAATATCACCATCTTACCTGTCCCCATCCACTTCACCAATGTGACATACCTCTTCACCCTAACATGTAGAGCTAATGTCTACGCCCAGGTACCTAGTGTTCACATGCAGCCCTCTTCGCTTGAGAAGATGGATCCTGCTTATGAAATGCTTATGAAGCAGACAACTCTTTTAAGATAATAGTATTCCTCTGTGGAGGAATAATGTGATGAAAATGCCATTAAAGCAGTCTGTGAGGTTACTTGGTTGATATTTCACAGGTTAGCTCATCATGGACCTATTTTCCCCCCAGTAGGCCATACTGTGTGTAAGATCATGTGTCAATCCGATTATAACTGTAGCATTTTCCCTGTATGATTTATGTTCCTTCTCTTTTCAGGTTGGTAGGATTTGTGTGGACAACTGCCTGAAGTTCCAGGGCATCAATGTCACATACCGGCTAGCGGTAGCAGAGAAGACAGATAAGAATGTGTCCGCCGACATACAGTCATGCTACGCTGCGATTAGCATTGCACAGAGCCTCAAGGACATGGCGGGGGTGTTATATGTGAACGACACAGAGGCGCTTCACAGGCCAGAGTGCCAGGACCTGCAGTACGTGGTTATTGCTCAAGAGCAACAGAATCTGCTGCAGGCTAGCGCTCAGATCCTCATTGTGCTCGATGGCAATAGTAAGTACTCTCCTGAGATAATTAGTTAATTCCCAGCAATACTCCAGACTGATGCTGATTTGGCCACAGAGATTATCAATGAATGAGATGTATGGCATCCATATTTGGAAGTCGTCAGTTCTGTCTGACTTCCTAATATGGATGCCCTAGTGTTGCCCCTTTTTCAAGGCTCATGCCTCATTGTTAGAGACCTTAGTACTAGTGTAGTAGAGACATTTAAAATTATGTTAACTCTATCCATGTCCAAGACTCTATCCATTGCTTTGTCCATGTCCAAGACTCTATCCATAGCTTTGTCCATGTCCAAGACTCTATCCATAGCTTTGTCCATGTCCAAGACTCTATCCATAGCTTTGTCCATGTCCAAGACTCTATCCATAGCTTTGTCCATGTCCAAGACTCTATCCATAGCTTTGTCCATGTCCAAAACTCTATCCATAGCTTCGTCCATGTCCAAGACTCTATCCATAGCTTTGTCCACGTCCATAGCTTTGTGTTGTCTTCATAAAGTTTGTGTTTGTGTTGTGTAGTTGATAAGCAGGGCCTAGAGGACCAGCGGTTCCTCTCCTGTGCAAAGGGGAGACAGCGTAGGGACTGTGAGAACATCAGAGGCCTGGGGGCAACCACAGGGAGGTGCCAATGGAGACAGGGCTCTGCAAAAGGTACCCACACTCTACATAATTAGGGGTATTTCATTGGCACAGGAAATGATGCTATTATATTTTTCCTCTATCTTTCAGGAATATCAGAAAGTTATTCCACCTGCTCCCCTGACCTCCGCACATGCCCTGATGGTTTTTGTGATGCAGTTGAAAGCAAAGACGTGTCAATATGTCCTCAGGATTGTACAAGTGAGAAATGTCTAAATCTTTTACTGCCATTTAAATTTGGCTACCGTATTGATGTTCTTTATTTTTTGACAGTATTTCAAGAGCTTTATTTTATTGTTGAATTCAATAGATGTATATGTCTTTGTGTCTCTCAGCTGAACCCGTTATAGGAGGTCATGAGAAAGGCATTGTGTCTGGCATCAGAGCAGGTCATGGAACCTGCTATTGTTACTCTGAAAAATGCTTCTGTGAGAAGGATGATATAGAGGGTGAGTTGTTTCATTTAAAATCCCTTTTTGTTCTACGTGTATTGACCCATATACCCCCCGCATAGGTCATGAAACAGCATGATACTGTATGTCAATCAAAGGTGAAATTACATTTAGCCTTTGTTATCAGAGGATGGTTTCCATGGTGTTTTTTTGTTGACCACTGACTCCTTCTGCCATGTCTGATCCAGAGGCCATGTGTGACGAGGTCTGCAAGACCATCATTGCCACCTGCCGTGCTGCTCTCCTTCATCGTCTCCATCCTCCTGTCCTCCTACTTCATCCATCGTTACCACAAGAACTCCCCCAAGCCCCCCATCACCTCGGCTGAGATGACCTTCCGGCGGCCCGCACAGTCCTACCCCATCAGCTACTCCGCTAACAACATGCGCCGTGGCTCGTTGGACTCCATGGAGAACCATGTAGCCATTGACACCTTCAAAATACCTGTAAGGCCTTAGCTAATACGATGTTTGCCAAATTCCTGAAACTTTCCCTAAATTCCCAGGTTTTCCTGAATATGTTTGGAAAGTTTCCAGAATTTAGCAAACCTAGCTATACTAAATTGCCTTTTAAATGATCATGAGACCTGCAAATATATGTTGTATTAATAGAGACGTTTTTAAAATGCGTTGCTTAATTGTTTTAACAGGAGGATCCCAAATGGGAATTTCCACGCAAAAACCTGGTGCTGGGCAAAACCTTAGGAGAAGGGGAGTTTGGGAAGGTTGTCAAGGCAACTGCATTCCGGCTGAAAGGAAAGGCTGGTTACACCACAGTAGCTGTGAAAATGCTTAAAGGTAAGACTAACCGGACAAAGAGCACACAATAGGAATAATTATTGTAAGACTCATGCAGTGAGTGAGTCCCTAGATGTCTGTATACTGAATACACAGTGGAAGTAGATTTTTATGATGTGACATTTGGCCAGATATAAGGTGCAGGCAGTTCTGCCACCCTAGGCGAGACAAAACATTTTTTGACGCCCCCTCCTATTCCCACAAAGTAGAATAGTAGCCTATACAGTGTCCGCCCGCAATTACATTTCATGAATGCCCATCCACAGGGGTGCAACTTTGGTTTTAGAAGTGGGGGGGACATCATTATTATATATATATATATTTTTTATCCTATCGGATAAACACTCCAAACAGCCTACCCGACCGCTCGGAGGCGTCCGCATGGTCCTAAAGCACACCGCGGCCTTGTTTTGTATCACATTCCAATGATAAAACTGGGGAGGACAAAAATGCAATTTCAGAATGTCTCCCCTCGTCCCCAGTGAACGTTGCGCCCCTGCCCATCCATATGGTACCGTTTGTCAGTCCTGATTCCTGACAAAGACCTAAGACTGATCACTTTGGCTACTCAAACTCTGAATATAAGTTACCCAAGTTTATTAAATTCCGCCCTTGTCAATCTGCCGTCCTAATCATTCCTAATGGGCGGGCCTGATAAGGTGATGTATTTTATGAAAGTATTTCATGAATCTCTCTTTTATTTTGCAACAGACCACGCCTCACATAGTGAACTGCGTGACCTCCTGTCAGAATTCACCTTACTGAAGCAAGTCAACCATCCACACGTCATCAAGATGTACGGAGCTTGCAGCCAGGATGGTAAGGCTTCATACCCATCCACTCCGACCACCATTTGAGGGTATCAATGTTACTGTACCTTCACCAATGGAGATGTGTGATACATGAGAATCTTGTCTTCAGATCTTGTCCTTTATGGTAGCAGTGCCTCAGATACCCTGTCTGATCAAATTATGCTTAAAGTCATCATGAGGTTGTGGTATAATAAATTGTGGACCCACTTGATCATATTACTGAAAACGTGATGTCCTTGCAATGCTTAACCTTCCGGTGTTATACCTGGTATATGTGATGAATATTTCATTAAATACTGCCAGATACTCTAAGCCTAAGTGTGTGTTTCTTTCCATCTAGGTCCAATGTACCTGATTGTAGAATATGCCAAATATGGGTCACTGCGCAACTTCCTACGTGAGAGCCGAAAGGTGGGACCCAGCTACATGTCGGGCAACGATGCCAACCGCAACTCGAGCTACCTGGAGAACCCAGATGAGAGGGCACTCACCATGGGCGACCTGATCTCCTTCACCTGGCAGATCTCCAGGGGCATGCAGTACCTGGCTGAAATGAAGGTGCCTGTATAGCAATTATCACTTTCAAAATATTCACCATGTGGCGAATCCTAACTTCCACTTAAGTCAAATTTCACTTAGTCTCCCGTTGACGTCAATGCATGACTCAGTGAAAATTTGACTGAAGTGGAAGTAAGGATTTGCCTTTATTATACAGTTACCTCCAAAATTATTGGCACCCTTGATAAATACTGTATGAGCCAAAAAGACTAAGTAAAGTAAATAATACAAATACTAAGCTATATTGTATGCTCTAAAAACGTGGAAAAGTATATTATTTTATACTAATACAATTGTTTAGAGAAAGAGATTTTGTTTTACAAGTAATAATTGTTTATCTCAAAATTATTGGCACCCCTAAAAATTCTGATCTATAAAATCAAACAAAATTATACCCCCAAGACATGCTAACCTCTCACCATTACCAATTACAACGGAGATTAGCATGTCTTGGGGTTATGATTTTTGTGTCTCTGTAAATTTCTCGCTCATAATTATTCACGATTCATTTAGGATTATCCGTAATCATGGTAGCATCCACATTAATGTAGAAGTGTTTAGAAACATTTTATTGTTATTTACAATAAAAGTGACTCCAAAATGACACAATACATTATTTACTATTCGTTTCTATTGGACAGAAAATAATCAAACACAACTAAAACACACTGCTTGTTGTAGTCATTGAGCGCTAGGAATATGGGACCAAATATTACATTTTGTTTGATTTTATTGATAAGAATCTTCCCAGCTAACAACAAATGTTCCCACAACTTTAGAGAATGTTCCCTTAAGAGTCTCATTACGTCATTACCTAATGTTTTCATAGGAATATTCCAGTCATGTGACTGTTTCCAAGAGCCCATTCCCTTAACCCTTTACACTAGTAGGAATAGGTTTATATGGATAGGGCAAAATTCTTATGTTTCTATGAAATGCATAAGCATGGTAGCAATTGAAAGGGAACAGTTTGGAGATTATTGGAAAATGATTAGACCAAAGTTGAGGACACAACAGCTCACCTGACATAAGACTGAATCCAAACATTACACTGTTGATTGTATGTGCATTTTACATTTACTGTACTTTTCGCCCCGTTTGTTGATAACGAAATCTGAAAATACTCTGGATACATACAGTAACATGATTAGAATATTCCTGGAAAATGTGGGGTAGGTGCAACATAAGACAAATAAATGACAAGGGTTTGAGTGAGAGGACTAACTGGTGTCTCCATGTGGCCATGCACCTCCCCAAAGTATGCACAGTTCCTAAGTAATGCACTTTCATGACTCAAAGAAGTCTTCAACTATAAGGTGCTTTTTTGAGCTCTCCTAGCTGTGCCGTTGAGGATCTAGAGCAAGAACACAATTACTGTTTTCACAATCCAAAAACGGCCCATTATAAATCGCAATCTGGGTCAGGTGGGCATAATTTGAAAGCTGTTCTATTGCCAATACGATCTTACAGTGTTAGGCTTTCACAAGGCAATTCAGAGAAACAGATCGTAATTTTGGTGGGCAAAGAAAGGAGTCATGAGTGCATTCAGGTGCATGTTCTGCGGCCAATTTTCTTCACACTAGACAAACATAGGCTCCTTCTGTTCAGGACAACACAGGGTATGACGCCATGTCATCTTGTAACTGTACATCAAACATAATGATCATAAATGTTGACACTGTATATGACATGAGTGTTATAATATGGAAATGTGAAGTGCACATTTTGTATCACTGGTGTTTGGCTTGCTTGTATGACATCAAAGCAGTATTTATTATAATCCTCAACGTCTCATCTTTCAAAATACATCGAGTCCTCTTAATTTACAGCATTTCCCTCACTCAGACAACAAAAAATTAACAAAGGTTGCCCAATTAGTGGGAGGGATGGGGGCAACTTCTTGTCGCGTGCGGTGCTCAAGTTCAGAACGTCTGTCAGTCAAAACCCAGACAGTGCTGTGAAGCGCAGAGCATGAGCACTGACTTCATTTATAGCATGTTACTGTACAACTACTGCGTTCCAATTTAGGTGCATATCAGTGCCCAATTCGGCCATTTTCAACCCATATACAGGTACGAATGTATAGGCCTACTGTCAAACAGAACTTACCCAGAACGTGGTGACAATGTTCTCCGAAAATTCAATATTACTGCTCGGAACGTTGCAAAGATATACCCGTGTCCAGTTTTCTGAGGGTTAGGAGAATATTCCATCAACGTCACACCAAACATACACAGAACATGGTTGCTATGTTCTCAGAATATAAGATATTAACGTTCTAGACATGTTTTATGGGAACGTTGCATGAACAGTCCTGTGTCCAATGATGTTTAAAACATAGGACGTTGTGTCATGGTCCCCTGGAGGTTTTTGGTCTAGTTCCCAGCTTGTTCCGGGGGCGTCCCTAAAGCCTGAAGGTCCCAAAGAAATGTCCCCCCCCCAAAAAAAGATGTATTACTTTACACATCACCCCTTCATACTGTTGTCGAGCCCATCAAGGCCCTGATTGGTGAACCACTGATCCATTCAGAGCTATTTGCCTGTTGGCAAGGTTAGGAATACTCAAACACACAAAAAGTGTTTTAAATTATGTTAAATATATTTGACACACTTTGACATACATGATTACATTGTGCATGTTCATTTATACAGTCATTATTATTCAACATGTCTTCACCTGGGATTTGAACTTAACCTCTTGGGTCATGGCATTCTGATCTTCCTGTTCTGGGTAAAGTTCTGGTTAATGTTCTCCTAAACATGCTAAAGATAAAAGAAATATTACTAGTTAAAAACAAAAGCATTTTCTGCATTAGTATAAAATAATATACTTTTTTATTTTGGGGAAGCATGCAAAACAGCTCAGTATCTTTTTTACATAATTTTTTACTCAATTCATCAAGGGTGGCAATAATTTCGGCTCCCACTGTATGTATGAATTCCATGCTAAACCTAGCTCATGGTCAATGTGACTCAGTGTTTTGTAAAGAAAGGAGCTCAACCTGACTATAAACTATAAGAAGCTTGATTGACTTTTGTCCTCCAATAGCTTGTTCACAGGGACCTCGCTGCAAGAAATGTCCTAGTTGCGGAGGGGCGTAAGATGAAGATTTCAGACTTTGGTTTGTCCCGGGACGTGTATGAGGAAGACTCTTATGTGAAGAGGAGCAAGGTAGGGTACCCAAATGTCAAATACCCAAGTACTTTTTAAAATTATATCACAAAATCATATCGTTTTCTGAAATTGTCAATTATTATGTTATCGATTGTAATAAGGATTTCTTAACATAATGTCCATTCTCTTACTTTTTGGCTTCTCTTTTCAGGGCCGAATCCCAGTGAAATGGATGGCAATAGAGTCCTTGTTTGATCACATTTACACAACACAAAGTGACGTGTGAGTACCTTGCACAATCAACTTAAAACACCTGTTATACATATCCATAATCAACTATGTTTGCGTGATAAAAAATCTACTAAATTGCGCAACTGAATGTATTCAACCGAAATGTGTCTTCTGAATCAGAGAGGTGCTGGGGGCTACCTTAATTAACATTGTTGGCACCCAGGGAGCAGTTGTTGGGGGTTAACTGACTTACTCAAGGGCAGAACGGCAGATTTTTCCACCTTGCCGGCTCAGCGATTCCAACCAGCGACCTTTCAGTTACTGGCCCAACGTCCTTAACTGCTAGGCTACCTACCGCCTCGGATAAACCATACAGCAAAACATCAGAATCACTGTTTCATCCATGCATTAGGTGGTGGTGCTATTAATGCGGTGTTCTCTGTCTCCTGCCAGCTGGTCCTTTGGTGTGCTGTTGTGGGAAATTGTGACACTGGGTGGAAACCCGTACCCAGGCATCGCCCCTGAACGCCTATTTAACCTCCTCAAGACTGGCTACAGGATGGAGAAACCAGAGAACTGCACTGAGGAAATGTACGTTTGCCACTTTACTTTACCCCAGCTTCATTGTAACCACAGTAAAACTCACTCTTACTCTATTACATTGTGATGGTAATGACATCCATGACATGACAAACCAGCAGCAAACCCACACTTATTCATTCTAATGTTGTAATGATCTATTCTAAATTGTAGGTAAACCATCCCATTGGTTTATTTTCACGGTGAATCGTGTGTTATGTTGCTTCTAACCATTAGGTGTTGTATGAATGTGTTTCTGCAGGTATAATCTGATGCTTCGATGCTGGAAACAGGAGTCAAACAAAAGGCCCATATTCGCAGATATCAGCAAAGAACTGGAGAAGATGATGGTGAAAAACCGGGTAGGATCAAGCAAAACAACCAACACTCTTTCTCTGTCTAATGTGGTCGTTACACTGTTCACTGGTAGTTACAGTATGCAATGTCATAAATGGAGTAAACAGCAAATGGCCAGTCTCATGTCCAGCAATAAGTATAACCAATGTCTGGTGACCATCCCCAAAATATGGCCCTGGGCAACATTTGCAAAACGTATAATTACAATAGATAGCAGTTAGTCTTGTGTTGAGGTAAAGAGGCAAAATATAGTGCAATTTTTTAGGATGCCAAATACAGTGCAAAAATGTGAAGGATATGTTTAGGATTTGAAACAGAGTACTTTTAAAACGTTTTATCTCACACATAAGTAGGAAATGTATTGCTCTAATATATTCTGTTTCCTATCAAGTGTTTGTCATTAGACGTCTTATGCCAGTTGGCTACGATCATAACTATATGGGAGGTTAAGTTAGGTCATAACTGCATGGTAGGAAATGACTGTATTATGACTGTATTAGCAGTATGCTCCACCTTCCTGTCATTAGTGATTAGCCTAATCAGGTGTTCCTCTCCTGTTGTCAGGATTACCTGGACCTGGCAGCGTCTACGCCAGCCGACACCCTACTGTACGACGACGCCCTCTCCGAAGAGGACACACCCCTAGTGGACTGTAATAACGCCCCTCTCCCTCGAACCATTCCCTCCACATGGATTGAAAACAAGCTCTATGGTAGAATTTCCCATGCATTTACTCGATTTTAGAGACAGGACACATAAGCTCTCTAATTGACATGTTGTGATTGTCTTCCTATAGACCGTGTGTGACTGTGATCTAGGCATGCTTCCAGAAAATGTCTCCCATTTCTTAGAAAATGAGAGTCAGTGGAAAAGGAGGATCTTGTGTCTGATGATTACTATTTGGACCTGCTTCCGATGTACATGAAATATAGACACATCTGTAAATAGTAAACATTTCCATAATTCCCTTATATGACATATTGTAATCAACATTCAATCCTACATATTGATGTTATATTAGGACACATACATTTTGGACAACATAAAAAAAATTCTAAACACATTCCAACACCCACATTTGTAATTAATTTGGAAAATACTGTTAAAAAACAGTTTAACATTTGAAACAGGTCCTTGCTGAATCAATCATTATCTATTACATTTGGATTCCAAACTGTCTTAAGTTATCTGAATTGTTTGTGTGTATATAGGCTACCTATTAAGCACAGAGTAAGCATACAGTAAGGCTTTTGAATTAAACCTTTGGCTAACATTGATAAACAATACTTTGTAAAAGTATTTTCATAAGAAATTCCCAAACAAATCCTACAGATTCTAAGCACTTCCAGTTGATAGTTCATAAAAGTATTTAGCAATAAGATGGCTGCCAGTGACTTAGTTACCATAAACAGACTGTGACTTGGTGTCCATGGTGTCCTGTTACAGTGATGCAATTATTGTATCTGCTTTATATTGACAACAATTATCAATGGTGCATAAGCCAAGGATAACATTTAGAGATCATGACATACATTACCAATAATGTACCAATAATTGTTGTGTTATTTTTCTTTGAATCTTATTTAATCAATCCAGTATATTTTTTTTGGTTAAACTGTACAGGAACTATGGACACCATTATTGTCTGTGAAGTGATTTCTACATAGAATTCTAAATGTATAGCCTTCTCATGTTCCTATGTCAAACATCTGTCTATAATTCACTTCTGAAAAATTTCTTCTCTCAAAAATGTAAGGGAGCCTTACTGTCTGCACTCAACTTTTTCTTTACTCAGTGCAGAAAAATGATATGTTCTCGTTTTTAGGCATGTCATACCCGAACTGGCCTGAGAAGAGCCCGGTACTGCTCAACAGACTTGATGCCACTAACCCAGTCTTTACAAGATATGCCAATGATAGTGTTTATGCAAACTGGATGGCTTTGCCTTCACCCGCAAAAATTGTGGACAAGCTTGATAGTTAAAAGCAAAAACCATTGTGGAAAATAAAGATTCGTAATTGGGTAGATGTGTATATTTATATAAAAACTGTACATAAACAATCTAAAGTTGGTTCCCTTTTATTTCTGTTGCACGGGTATTCCACGTTGAAACTGGGGGATTTAAAAAGTGTATTTGCTGAAAAATGGCTGGAATTACATAGACCATGTTTCAAGCAGCTCTTCGGTATGTTAATCATAACCTCAAAGTCATGTTGGTCAAGTTGTATCATTGCATGACTGTGTACCAGGTTGTATGTCAATGTTAATTTCTTTCAAGTGCCTGTGCCGCTTCTACGATAGCCTCCAATTAGTAAATCTGTAAAGATGTTGTTTCCAGCCCATAATTAAAGGGGACTTCTTTAGCATCACCTGTCCTATATTGTAGACCTGTGAGGTTAAGATGGACAAAGAGTGGACACTGAGTTCATCCAGAAAAACTGCAGAGTTTCTACTTGATATGATCATGTTCTTTGAAATGTAAAAGCCACTTTTGTCTTTCCACTTTAACGTTTCCAAGTATACTTGCCAAAGAAAATAAGAGAACCGTGTTTAGTTTAATATATTCTTTCTTTTACACAAAAAATATCAAATAGTTAGTGCTACTGTGTTGTTAGGACATGAGACTATAAATGTAGAATGTGGGCATGTTCTGTGTCAAAACTGCAGCTCACCATTTGATTCCTCCTAATGGCAATCTTTGTGCAACAATTAGCTATGATTTTGAAAACAAATGAGTGTTATTAATTGTTATTTCATTATTACATGATTATGTTGCAATCAATAAAAAGTTAAAATATGTGCGATCTAGTTATATGATAGCCTCCCCCTTCTCTCTTTCTTTCATCAGATGTAATAATGGAAAAATAATGGAAGCTTACATTGTGAATAAAACCTTATTTATCTGAAACCGTCAGAAAACATGACATTTATTTGGTAAGATATGCTTGGTAGAATTAGATTACCTTATTATTTAATACAAAATGTGTTGTGTGAGTCTGTTACTCTTTAAGATTGGTTTAATGTAGTTGTACATAACACGTCAAAAGGTTGGACACACCTACTCATTCAAGGGTTTTTCTTTATTTTTACTCTTTTTTACATTGTAGAATAATAGTGAAGACATCAAAACTATGAAATAACACATATGGAATCATGTATTAACCAAAAAAGTGTTAAACAAATCAAAATATATTTTATATTTGAGATTTTTCAAATAGTCTTGATTACAGCTTTGCACACTCTTGGCATTCTCTCAACCAGCTTCACCTGGAATGATTTTCCAACAGTCTTGAAGGAGTTCCCACATATGCTGAGCACTTGTTGGCTGCTTTTCCTTCACTCTGCGGTCCGACTCATCCCAAACTATCTCAATTGGGTTGAGGTCGGGGGATTGTGGAGGCCAGGTCATCTGATGCAGCACTCCATCACTCTCCTTCTTGGTAAGGTACCCCTTACACAGCCTGGAGGTGTGTTGGGTCATTGTCCTGTTGAAAAACAAATGATAGTCCCACTAAGCCCAAACCAGATGGGATGGCGTATCGCTGCAGAATACTGTGGTAGTGTCAGGCGTCAGTGTGCAGCGGTAGGACGGAGTCAGGCGCAGGACACAGAACTGAGTAACAGACAAACTTTACTCGGAAAGAAACAAATACTAATTCCACGCAGTGAAATAAACCAGCTCACAGCAGTCATAAACACCAAACAAAGAACAATCAAGCACAAAACCATGAGGGAACCAGAGGGTTAAATAGGGAAATAATCATAATGTGATGGGAACCAGGTGTGTACAATAAAGACAAAACAAATAGAAAATAGAAACGTAGATTGGTGGCAGCTAGAAGACCGGTGACTACGACCGCCGATGGCCGCCCGCACAAGGAGAGGCACCAACTTCGGTAGAAGTCGTGACAGTACCCCCAACCTTGACGCGTGGCTCCAGCAGCGCGCCGACCCCAGCCTCGCAGGACGATCCGGGCGGAGACGGTGAAACTCCTGCCGTGAGGAAGGGTCCAGGATGTCCTCCACCGGCACCCAGCATCTCTCCTCCGGACCGTACCCCTTACCTACCGTACCTTCTGTCGCCTGATGGCCCGTTGCAGGTGCACATGGGCAGTGTCCCAGGTCTCCTCTGAGCGCCGAAACCATTCATCCACCACAGGTGCCTCGATCTGGCTCTGATGCCACGGTGCCAGGACCGGCTGATACTCTAGTACACACTGAAATGGAGACATGTTAGTGGAGGAGTGGCGGAGGGAGTTTTGGGCCATCTCTGCCCAGGGGATGAACGCCGCCCACTCCCCCGGCCGGTCCTGGCAATAGGACCGCAGAAACCTACCCACATCCTGGTTAACTCTCTCCACCTGCCCATTACTCTCGGGGTGAAAACCTGAGGTCAGGCTGACCGAGACCCCCAGATGTTCCATGAACGCCCTCCAGACCCTCGATGTGAACTGGGGACCCCGATCAGACACCCCGTAGTGCCGGAAGACGTGGGTAAACAGAGCCTCCGCAGTCTGTAGGGCCGTAGGGAGACCGGGCAAAGGAAGGAGACGGCAGGACTTAGAAAACCGATCCACAATGACCAGGATCGTGGTGTTACCTTGTGACGGAGGAAGATCCGTCACGAAGTCCACCGATAGGTGTGACCACGGCCGTTGTGGAAAGGGCAGGTGTTTAGGTGCCTTGCACTGGGCGCACACCGAGCAGAAGGAAACATAAACCCTCACGTCCTTAGCTAAAGTGGGCCACCAGTACTTCCCACTAAGACAGCGCACTGTCCGACCGATGCCAGGATGACCAGAGGAGGGTGAGGTGTGGGCCCAACAGATCAATCAATCCCACTTGATGTCCGTGTCAACCTCCCATACCACCGGCGCCACCAGGCAAGAAGCCGGAAGTATGGGAGTGGGATCCGTGGACCACTCCTCTGTGTCATACATCCGGGACAGAGCGTCTGCCTTAGCGTTCTGGGAACCTGGTCTGTAGGATAGGGTGAAAACAAAATGGGTGAAAAACATGGCCCACCTTGCCTGGCGAGGGTTTAGTCTCCTCGCCGCCCGGATGTACTCCAGAATGCGGTGGTCAGTCCAAATGAGGAAAGGGTGTTTAGCCCCCTCAAGCCAATGTCTCCACGCCTTCAGAGCCTTGACAACAGCTAACAGCTCCCGGTCCCCCACATCATAGTTTCGCTCCGACGGGCTGAGCTTCTTCGAAAAGAAAGCACAGGGGCGGAGCTTTGGTGGCGTACCCGAGCACTGAGACAGCACAGCTCCTATCCCAGCCTCGGATGCGTCCACCTCTACTATGAATGCCAAGGAGGGATCAGGATGAGCCAGCACGGGAGCAGAGGTAAACAGAGCCTTCAGGTGACCAAAAGCCCTGTCCGCCCCAGTTGACCACTGCAGTCGCACCGGTCCCCCCTTCAGCAAGGAGGTAATGGGAGCCGCTACCTGACCAAAGCCCAGGATAAACCTCCGGTAGTAGTTGGCAAACCCTAAGAACCGCTGCACCTCCTTTACCGTGGTTGGAGTCGGCCAATTACGCACGGCTGAAATGCGGTCATTTTCCATCTCCACCCCTGACGCGGACAGGCGGTACCCTAGGAAGGAGACGGACTGTTGTAAGAACAGACATTTGTCAGCCTTGACGTACAGGTCATGCTCCAACAGTCGACCAAGCACCTTGCGCACCAGGGACACATGCTCGGCGCGTGTAGCGGAGTATATTAGAATGTAATCTATATACACCACTACTCCCTGAAAATCTCGTCTACAAAGGATTGGAAGACTGATGGAGCATTCATCAACCCGTACGGAATGAAGAGGTACTCATAGTGCCCAGAGGTGGTACTAAATGCCGTCTTCCACTCATCCCCCTCCCGGATACGCACCAGGTTATACGCGCTCCTGAGATCCAATTTGGTGAAGAAGCGCGCCCTGTGCAATGACTCGGTCACACTGGCTATGAGAGGCAGCGGGTAACTGTACTTCACCGTGATCTGATTTATACCTCGATAGTCAATGCACGGGTGTAAACCTCCATCCTTCTTCTTCACAAAAAGGAAACTCGAGGAGGCAGGTGAAGTGGAAGGCCGAATGTATCCCTGTCCCAGAGTTTCGGAGACATATGTTTCCATACCCGCCGTCTCCTCCTGTGACAGAGGATACACGTGACTCCTGGGAAGTGTTGCATCTACCTGGAGATTTATCGCACAATCCCCCCTACAATGGGGTGGTAATTGAGTCGCCTTCTTTTTACAGAATGCGAGAGCCAAATCGGCATATTCGGGGGGGATGTGCATGGTGGAGACCTGGTTTGGACTCTCCACCGAAGTTGCACCTATGGAAACACCTACACACCTCCCTGAGCACTGACGTGACCATCCCTTCAGAGCCCTCTGTTGCCACGAAATAGTGGGGTCATGATGGGCCAACCAGGGAAGCCCCGAACACCACAGGAAACGCAGGAGAATCGATCAGGAAGAGACTAATGCTCTCCTCATGACCCTCCTGCGTTATCATACACAGTGGAGCTGTGATCTCCCTAATCAGGCCCGACCCTAAAGGATGACTATCTAAGGCATGTACAGGAAAGGGCACATCAACAGGAACAATAGGGATCCCTAATCTAAGTGCAAATTAACGGTCAATAAAGTTCCCAGCTGCACCTGAATCTATTAGCGCCTTATGCTGGGAATGCGAGGAAAACCCAGGAAACTCTATACAGACACACATGTGCGCAACAGGGAGCTCTGGGTGAGTCGGGTGCCTACTCACCTGGGATGATCCACCAGTGCCCTGCCTGCTGCCTCGACTCCCTGGGGAACCTCCCCAGCACCGACCAGCAGTGTGCCCTCTGCGGCCACAGGTGGTGCAGGAAACGGCCCCCCCCTCTGGTCACCCTTAGAGCAACACATCCGAGCTCCATAGGTGTAGACTCGGAGGTGCTGGGGGATGGAACGGACGGACCCCAATCCGAGCGTCCGCGGGTGGCCAACAGGTTATCCAGCCGGCTGGATAAATCCACCAGCTGGTCGAGGGTAAGGGTGGTGCCCCTGCAGGCTAGCTCCCGACGAACGTCCTCCCGTAGACTACACCGGTAATGGTCGGTAATGGTTCCATCCCGCGCTGGCAGCCAGGGTGCTGAAGTCCAGTGCGAAGTCCTGTGCGCTCCTCGTCCCCTATCAGAGATGGAACAAGCGTTCCCCCGCCGCTCTCCCCTCAGGCGGATGATCGAAGACCACCTGGAAAGGGCGGGTGAAATCCTCGTAGCGAACCAACATTGCGTCAGTCCCTCCCCATTCAGCGTTGGCCCACTCCAGCGCTTTCCCCGACAAACAGGAGATGAGGGCGGGCACTCTCTCGTATCCCAAGGGAGCCGGGTGGACGGTCGCCAGGTAGAGCTCCACCTGGAACAGGAACCCCTGGCACCCAGCAGCCGTCCTATCATAGACCTTCGGGAGCGAGAGCCGGATCCCACTGGGTCCAGGTGACTGAGGGGTGGACAGCGGTGTGGGTTGAGGTGAAGTTGATGGGGGTGTGGGAGAACCCTCTCTCTCCCATCGCTCCATGGTGTGCAGCACGCGATCCATGGCTGTGCCCAGATTGTGGAGCATCTTCGCGTGCTGCTGGATGCGCTCCTCCACCGGTAACAGAGGACTGGATGCACCTGCTGACTCCATATGTGGTGCGTGATTCTGTCAGGTGTAAGTGTGCAGCTGTAGGACGGAGTTAGGCGCAGGACACAGAAACTGACTAACAGACGAACTTTATTCGGAAAGAAACAAATACTAATTCCACGCAGGGAAATAAACCAGCTCACAGCAGTCATAAACACCAAACAAAGAACAATCACGCACAAAACCATGAGGGAACCAGAGGGTTAAA